CAGACCAGCAGTGTGGGAGCTGTAGAGAGTGGGGGTGACCTATAGGCCGGCAGCACGGTGCCTGTAACATAGCAGGGGTGACCCGCAGACCAGCAATGCGGGGGCTGTAGCACCCGGCCCTGCCGAGGATCCTCGGCTCCCCTGTGTAGTCTGGATCCAGGTCTGCTCTGGTCTGGGCCGCCACGCCATGTGCGGGAGAGTCCTGCTCACAGAAGGCAGTTTCCCAGGGCTTGTTGGGCACCAGACACGTTAGAGCTGGCCAGGAGTGTCAGTCTCGATCGACGGCTGCTGCTTAAAGCGCGGTGGGACTCGCACCCTGAGTGCCCACACTGCTACTTGGTCTGTGTGAGACCCGGGGCTGGTCCAGAGCACAGAGGAGCCGGGGCTTCGGGCATCCTCATAACACGAAGCCCCTTTAAAGCTTGAGTGATTCTCCCGTGCTGCTTGATCGAGGGCCGCCCTATGGCCACGCACCGACACTAGCGCGCCCCACCTGCCTGCTGCGGGCGGCACCTGCCGTGGTCGCTCCTTTCCTCCTCTGTCCTGTCACCTGCAGCTCTGGACTCAACGTTGACAGCTCTCACGTGCCTGTTGTGTGCACGGTGCTGCGTGCTTTGTCACAGGCCGGAGCCTGACCGTCCACGTGAATGTCATCCAGGACGATGACTTGGGGTTTCCTGGGCCATAGCTGCGGTCAGGCTGGCATGTCGTGGGAGTCTCTGTTTAAATCCCGTGTTGACACTAGCACGTTTGATTCACAAAGTGAACGTTCTTCCCTGGTTAGAAGCTACGTTAGGTGATTTCAGTGCTCTTAGGACCATTTAGATGCAGCTGTTCATAGACTTGGTTTTTGAAAAACCGATGTGGTTTTATAAAAACGAGATGAGCCCGTCCGGTTATAGTGTGAGCGTGAAGCAGCCGTGAGCTGCGGATGTCCCTCGGGGAAGCTGCAGCGCTGAGGGGTGCCGGGTGAGACAGCCCGGGCCTGCCGGCGCCTGCTGCCAACCTGCCCATGGGTTTCTCTGCAGTGACTTTGGTTTCTGTTCCGCAGGAAAAATGAAGTTCAGTACCCAGTCTTCGTCTTTTGTTGGGTTACCCTTCTGATAAAGCCGCCCCACGGTTAGGGTTCACCTTTTCTGGTTCACACCACCGTGTATCTCCCCGAGTCTAGAATTGAGCAGTACCCGCAGACCCAGGAATCTGGAGAGGGCCCATGTGTGCCAGGTGCCCCCCTTCTCTCGTGGCTCAGGGTGGTCTCTTGCCAGGGCCCCATCTCCACGGCTGGGGATGCCTGCTACCGAGGCTCCCGGGGTCCCTCCGTTCTTTACGCTCTGCGTTTACTCTGGAGACGCGTGTGGCTGGTTTTCTCTGAAGTGCTGCTCTTAAACTGGTTTAGCATTTTTAATTCTCTTAACGCCTTAAGGAAAACCAGAGTTCAATATCCACGGCGTTTTCTGGAAGATCCCAGAGTGGGCTGGTCTTGTCCAGCATGCACCAGAATGAAACGCATTCTCACCCTGGATTCGCCAGCGTCTTGGGACGTCATGCTTCCTCGGGGTTGGACTATGTGTGCTTTTAGGAAGGTGGGGTCTCTGCCACCCGGGGAGGCCTGTTGCGGGCATGGTGTTTGTCCACCCTTAGGGTCCCCTGAAGGTCAGCATGGAGTTAGGGGCTCCCAGCGATGAACTGGGCTTGGTGTGGCTGGCTTTTCCGTCCCAGTTAGCCTTGGCGAGGACGGCCCCGTCGGGGGCTGGGTCTGCGGGAGCTCTCTGGGCTGGTTTCCTTTCGCTCTTGCGGGACGTGCTGCACAGAGAGAGCCAGCTGCGGGGTGAGGTTTTCTCCTTTTCTCTGGGATTTAGACCCTCCTCCCCTCCCCAACTCAGGAGCCAGTTTTCCGTCCATCCCGGTCGGCAAGAGCCCCATGGTGGAGCAGGCTGTCCAGACTGGCTCTGTCGATCACCTGAACGCCAAGAAGCTGATGCCCGGGAAGGGGTCCGTGGGGGTGCAGCTCAACGGTCGCCAGGTCCAGCCAGGCAGCAAGAGCGCCAACGGTACTTGAGCGCTGTCCTCTCCCTCCCCGGCACTAGTCTCATGGTTTCAAAGTGGGCCAGCCACTGGGACTCCTCTTGGCCACGAAGCCCGGTGGTCCAGCCAGGCGGCCTCTGCAGCCCTGGTGCGGCCGCGCAGGTGTGGTGGCGGGCAGCTGCGTCACGGGCTTCTGGCTTTCGCAGACGCTTTGCCTTCATCTTCCCTTCTGCGCCTTAGATGGAGGTCAGCCCGCAGCTGTGCAGAGTCAAGGGCAGGTGAACGACGAGAACAGGAGACCTCAGAGGAGAAGATCAGGTACAGCTGTTGCCCTTCCAGTTCTGGGCGAGGAGTGATCGAGTTGAGCTTTGCTTGCCCGTCCTGCTCCTGCTTTTTGGGTGTTAGTCTCAAGCGGTGCGGGGTGCCTGCGTCTGTGTGCTCTCGCTGCTTCGGGGTGCTGTGCTCCCTTTTGTTGTCTGTGGGGTGTGTAATGCAGTTTCCAGCACTAAGCAGACTGCTTTTGAAACCATGAAAACATTGCGCCAAGCCGGCGGCTTCCTTCAGCCGCGTCTGCCTTTTTCTCCCCCCAGGGAACCGGCGAACAAGGAATCGCTCCAGAGGGCAAAACCGCCCAAGCAACGTGAAGGAAAACACCATCAAGTTTGAAGGCGACTTTGACTTCGAGAGTGCGAACGCTCAGTTCAACCGAGAGGAGCTGGACAGAGAGTTTAAGAAGAAACTGAATTTTAAAGGTCTGATCCGTTACATAAAAACTCACCGTGTCTCAAGGAGCATGTAGACAGCGTGTTAAAAGGAAGAGGGGTCACAGAGAGCTGGAGGTTTGGGGACTACCGTGGACACCACGTCATCTAGGATCGAACGGGACGAGGGGTTGGGTGGAACCATCTTCACGGGATAAGCAGCAGATTCTGCGCTCCCGTTACGAGGGCAAAGTGAGTGCAGCAGCAAGCAGTTGCGAGAGAGTTTCACTTGGCGGGAGGCACTGAGCGGGCCCTGCCTGCGTCTCAGCGGCCTTTGCTTCTCTCCGTAGATGACAAAGCTGAGAAAGGGGAAGAGAAAGACCCGGCGGTGGTGACCCCGAACGACGAGAACCCTGCTGAGGAGGACCTTCTGGGGCCCAACTGTTACTATGACAAGTCTAAGTCATTCTTTGACAACATCTCCTCTGAACTCAAGACCAGGTAAGCCTAGGGGGGCGGGCGGGACAGACCCCCGCACGCCTCGAGGACCTGCCAGAGGTGCTCTGTCTCCATGGCCAAGGTCACGGTTAGCGTCTTAGCGATACACACTGCAGTCCCACCGGCGCCCGTGTCCCACAGTCGTATGGCTGGGGGGTCCTCTGGCAGCCACGGGCACCTGTGGGGGTGTGGCCGAGGGCAGGCCCACCCTCTCCTCGCCATCCCGTGAAGGCTGGGCTAACCATCTGTGTCCCCAGGAGACTGGACATTGAGTCCTATTACATCTTCTCGCCTTGGCCGGCTTCCTCTTCCCTAGCCCAGCTCGGGGGCCGCACGGCCTTGGTGCTGAAGCAGCTGGCTGCAGCCCTCTGGCTGTTCGGTTTTCTCACTTGGTTGAGGTTGGTGCTCGGGTGTCGTCCCAGGGAACGGCCTAGACGGTGGATGAGATCTGTGGAACGGGCATAGCACGGGAGACGAGTGTCTTTTTGTTGTACAGCTTGGACCAGATACACTGCTGGGCATGGAGGACACCCCAGAAAGCAAGATGGGGAGCCTCCTTGCCCGCCTTCCCCAGAAAGCAAGATGGGGAGTCCCCTTCCCCACCTTCCTAAGAAAGCAAGATGGGGAGCTCCCTTCCCATCTTTTGCAGAAAGCAAGATGGGGAGCCCCCTTCCCCACCTTCCGCAGAAAGCAAGATGGGGAGCCCCCTTCCCCAGCAAGATGGGAACTGCCCTCCCCGCCTTCCCACGCTTAGGGTCTGGCAGGGGAAACGGGTCATGAACAAACAGAACGGGAAGTAGATAGCCCTGGGGCAAACAGCGTGGGGGCGGGCCAGCAGTCAGCCTCAGATGGCCGGGCGGGCTCGCCGGGGGCCGCGCTTGCGGGGGGCCGCGCTCCGCGGGGCCTGCGGTGCAGAGCAGGTATGTGGGAGGAGGAGAAAAGCGTTCCCAGATGGGGCGCCAGGTGGGAGCAGGCGAGAGGCTGGAAGGTGGCCAGGTACGTGTAGGACTTACAGGTCACTGATAGTTCTGGTGCTACTCTCAGTGCTGTGGGGAGCTGGGAGCAGGTGTGGGCTGAGGGGTGATGGCATCTGATGTTTCTCGTGGAATGGGTTGGTGATGGGTGGGCACAGAAGCTGGCGGTCCACGGGGGCCTTTGCACTAACCCAGGCATTTTGTCAGGGTGATGAGAGAGGGCAGAGAAGGGCCGGGTTATGAGCAGGAGGTTGGGTTGCTGCCTCTGACCGAGAATGCCAGTGGGAACAACGGGTTTTGTGCACGAGGCAGGGCGCCTGGGTTGGGTGTTCTGAACGGGAGCCTGCAGTGTGGGTGTGGCGCTGGGTGCAGGATGGGCTCCGGGAGTGGCCCGGCTGAGCATGGAAAGATGCATCGGGGACAGTGGGGAAGCTAATGCTGTGTCCCCTCTCTCCTACCCCAGGAAGCACAAGCTTCGTTTAGTCCAGTGTTGTCCTTCAGTAGACATTTGAGCCTGGAGGGGCGTGTGCTGCCCATCCCAGAGCCTGTGGCCCTCTGTGTGGGACCCCAGCCCTGCATGACATGTGGGGGCCAGGCCGGGCCACCTGTCTGCGGCAAGCAGTGGGCCTGATGTGAAGTGTGGCAGGAGCACCTGCGGTGTCGGGGTCCCAGGTTCTGGAGTCCTGGCTGGGCCTGTTCCCGTGTCTATCAGGGCTGAGGCTGCCTCAGACGCTGTCATTTTCACACATCTTATCTGGGGTTCAGTTCCAGGCGTACTACATGGGCCGAGGAGAGGAAGCTCAACACGGAGACCTTTGGGGTATCAGGAAGGTTTCTTCGTGGCCGCAGTTTCCGGGGTGGATTTCGAGGGGGCCGAGGCACCGGCACAGCGCGCCGCAACCCCACCACCCACAGAGCGGGGACTGGCAGGGTGTGAGGGTGCAGCCTGAGGTGAGTGACTGCAGGCTTTGGGTGGGAGGGTTGGAACAGGAGTCCCTGGGTGGGAAGCCTCTTCACGAAGAGCTTGGAGCCAGGGAGTGGGGCTGTTGTGTTTTCCAGTGAGAAGGAAAGCCCCAAGAAGGATCAAGGCCCCACTGAGGGCTGGGACCTTCTAAATATTTGGGTGCAGTTAGAAATGGCAAGACACCAGCCCTCAGCCCGACGCTGACCAGCTGCCTTGATTCCTGGAGGTGGGCCTAGGCCCCCGGTGGCACAAGCCGCCCACAGTGTGGTGTGGGCTGGACCCTTCTCCCAGAGTGTGGTCAGCAGACAAGAGGAGCTCCTAGCCCTCTCCTTTCTCAGCCCCGCCCTCCTGCCCAGAGCCCAAGTCTGCATTTTAATGAGGTCCCAGCTGGCTTGTGTGGGCGTCGGTCTGGGCAGAGCTTCTCCTGCGGGGCGGTGAGGGGGTGACAGGTGTGCCCAGCACCGACCCTCCCCGGCCCTTGGGGTGGTCAGAGGGGACCGGGAGGAGCTGGGAGTTCTCTAGCCGTGAGCTTCCTGGCTGAGCCGCCCGCTTCGTTTTCCCTGTGGGCATCCCTGGCCGCCCGAGGGAGCGTGGGTGGGCAGCTTCTGTCCCCCTTGGGTCACAGCACGTGACAGATCCTGGGTCACTGCCTGATGGGACGGGCTAACTCTGGAAACCAGCTCAGCGTCGTTGCATCTTTGCAGGCTCCCGCCGAGGCGGCGCAGGAGGAGCTGTGGACGTGAGGACGTGATGACGCCACGCTCCCGGTGGGGGACGCGGGTCGCTTTGTTCACGTGGAAGTCCCGCCCCGCTACGTGTGTTTGGACTCCTGTGGAGTGGTCTGAGCTAGAGCCACTTGTTTTGGGGGGAGTGTCCCGGGTGGCCTCCTCAAGGCGCCCGTCTGTTTTTCTTTTCAGTGCGCACAGCTAATCCCAGGTTTGGCGTTTTTCAGGAAGGTTCCCACAGCCAGCGCTTGGGCCTCACTCGGTGATTTTCACGATTGCTTTGACTTTTAAAGCGGAACCAAATTGCATTGGGCAAGTGCAGCAGTCAAGCGCGTCTCTGCGGCTGCCTGGCACCCCCACTGCGCAGGGCAGTGCCCCAGGAGCCAGCCCAGGCGGAGTGGGCGGGGGTGTCAGGTGGATCATGTTGTAAAGCAAACCAGGGTACCCTGCCGTCCGCAATGGGGTTGTCAAGGTTGGGGGCTGGCAGAGGAGGGAGGAGGGTCAGGAGGACTCCTGGACATAGGACAGGGCTCTGAACTGAGCTGCTTAGCTGGTGCAGAGCCTGCTTCCCTAGGAGCCGTGGGGCTCTGAATTGAGCTGCTTAGTTGGCTCAGAGCCTGCTTCCCTAGGAGCTGAGGTTGGGGTTGAAGCCCAGGATAGGCCTTGCCTGGTCCCCGCAGGCTTCACGTCGGGCTGTGGCAGAGGACGGGGGTGTCCTCGTCTGCTTTGGAAACGAGCCAGTCTTTTGCTAGGTCACCTGACCAAGAGTGTATCTCCTCTCAACTGTAAATAGTTCTGTGTTTTTCTTGTTAAGGTGGGGTGGTGGGCGGGTGGGCGGGCATATAAACTTGTTGCATGAATAGGTCAGACTTAGTGTAGCATGTGTCCCCAAAGATGGGGCATTTTGTTGAAGGTAAGCACCTTGGTCACGAATCCCTTTCAAGTAGCTGTAAAGGTTTAGCTGTGTATTATCGATTAAGTTTTTGTAAAGCCTGGGTTTATTTTTGTAGGACTTCATGGCTAAGAATTAGAACGTAGCGATGGGCTGCTCTGTTGGAGTAACGTCAATTGTAATTATAAATAAACATGCATATGTTTACATTTTCCTCTCAACTGACGCTCTAGTCCTATTGAGTCTGCTGCCCAAGTCACATCTGGCATCACAGGCACAGAATCGCGTTTCCCAGTCTGAAAGCCTGTTCCCACGCCTGGAGCGCACTCGGGGAGCATGTTGGCAGGGGTTGGGGGGGGTCCTGGTGGTCTTGAGGAAGAAGCTGACTGGGCCCATTGTAGGCGGCAAGGGGCTCTGCTTTGTGGAAACTTTGGACACAAGTGACAGGTGAGAGGTAGCTGGGCTCAGGGGCGGTCTGTTTGCTGCCGGGAGGCAGCTTCTGTCTTCCTGGGAGCTAAGGAGATCGGGCGCAAGGCTGTCCACCTGTTTAGTGGGGCCACCACACAGGACAGCAGTTCCAGGCTGAACGCCCTCCACTTCACTGTAGTGGGGTCAGATGATGAATCCCCAGAGTAGGAGAGACCTCTGGTAAGTTGGGCCAATTTTTCCTTAAATACTTGCCTGTTGAGTTATAAGCCTGTGACTTAATCGGGTGCTAAGGTGGAGATGTTCCGTACATGATCTGGTGCACGCCTCCTTCTGGGCAAATAGTCCCTAATGCACAGGGACGAGCTGATGCTTCCAGCAGAGCCCGAGCCCTTCGCTGAACTCAGTGGGTGGTCTAGGCTCCGGAAATCTGGACAGATTCTTCGTAGCCTTCTTTGGTGGCAGCCATCCTTGACGAGTAGAAACGAGAAACCTCCTGTGCCTACGGGCTGGCTAGAGGCAGCCAGAGCCCCGTTCTCGGCCCGCTCGGTGACTTGAGGCTGAACTACTCAGGCCGAACCTTGCCAGTAAAATTGTAAACGGACAGTCATTTTGACAGTTGCACCTTTAAGTTCAGCATAAGTTGTGACGTGGACCGCTTTACTACCTTCTAGAAGGTACATGTGCCATGACCAGAGCCAGGTCAGGAGAAGCCGTAAACTGAGACAGTGAGCTGAGCCCTCTGCAGGCTCAGGACGGTGACTGCATTTACCACAGAGCCAGGCCTGGACTGGAACCCGGCACTAGGCAGCAAGCACAGCTGCTCAGGCCCAGGGGTCACTGTCCGCATTTTCTGTGGAGAAACATCTTCCAGTCACGACAAACCGCTGTGGGCCCGGAAGCCGGGGTGCTAAAACAGGAGGGGACATCCGGGGACAGAGGGAGGGCAGGGAAGTCAGGAGGCTCCTGTTCGAAGCTGTGCTAAAGCCAGAAGCAGTGAGGGTCCTGAGTGGGTGCTCTGCAAGGCCCAAGTGACATTTGGAAAAACCCAGTGCTTTCCTGTGTCATTGAGGTTACGGGCTCATTAGGAGGCTTGAATGGGGGGCTAGAGGACACAAATCGTGCCAGCCTTGGAACCCGACAGGGATCCTCGTGGTGTGAGCCCAGCAACAGCAGTGTGTTCACACTCATGTCACCTGGAGCTGCTCCTGAGGGAGGACCCCCCCCACCGCCCCCAAATAGCTAACAGCAAGAGAAGCTCATATCAAAGAACGCACTCGGATCCCAAAAACAAGAGGAAGCCATTCTGTTTCCTGAAGAGCTACTGTAATTACCCTTAAAATAACACGCTCTCTTTTAAAAAAGGTTAAAAAACACGGAAGTTTATTACTGTCGGACACTCAGTTTGGATAAACGGAATGAAGCCTCCACCCATCGTTGAGGACACCCGTGATTTGAAGTTAAAAATCACCACAAGCAAAAGAGAGTCTGTTCATCACGATGCTTTCTTCTGTTTCTTCTTTTCGTTTTCTTCTTTCTCCTTTTCAATTTCAGCAACATATTTCTCAATTTCTTCAGGATTTAAAATCTACCACATAAGAAAAAACAGTTTATGGTTAACGCTGGGCCCCACAAGGTGCCAAGCCACGAACACCTGCTTTGGTGAGACTCTCCTGGCTCCCGCCAGATCTCTTGGCTTCTCCAGTGGCAGTCTGGAGGCCAGTTCTCAGAACGAGACCACAGGTGCCTGATGCAGTGAACGACCGCACGCGCCTAGACCCAGCCAACCATCAGGAGAGACAGCTTTCAGCACGTGCCAGCACGCAGACGCCATCTCGATACAGGAGGATGAACGAGTGCCTTCAGACACACTTGGTGGGCACTGAGGAAAGGTTTCCTCCTAAGCTGGTGCTGCCCCACCCCGACCACTGAGAAGAATCCACAGGCAGAAGGAAGCCAGGAAACACAGCTATTACCTTGAGGGGCTGATCCCGCCGCATGACCGCAAGCTCGATGTTTTTGCCGCCTGACTGGACCACCTGAAGAGATGAAGGGACGAGAAGACGAGATGAGGCGCCTCTCCCACCTCGACATGCAGTGAGCATACAAGCACCTTTAACGCTCACGTGTGCCCAGTCCAGAGTCCCGGTACCCACCGCCTCTGTGCTCAACAGACACGGACGTGAGAAGTCCACTCCGTCCACGGGTACGCCCTCCTGTCCAGCTCGCACACTGCCCCCTGCCACCCCCACAGCCACTGTCACCATCACCCCCGTTTCTCGTTCCAGCCTTGCCTCCCCAGGGAGGTCCACTTGCCTGTTTAATTTCACCCTCCAGCATTTCCAACAGCCCTTGCCCCGACCCTCCACCCCCACCCCCAGCTTCACGGCAGCTCGGAGCCTCAGAAGGGCCTGATGAGGGCCGTGAGTGGGCAGACAGCTCAGGCAGCTCGCCTGTGTCCCCAGTCTGCACTGTGACTAGCTGGGTGCCTCACCCGCCCCTCTGCATGACAGTGCACGGTTGCTGAGAACATGGTGAGCATGACGGTGTCCCGGAATAGCAGCTGCCTCAGCAAACGCTCAGACCCCAGCCGTTAATGCTAGCTTCCCCACCACCACCTCCATGCCAGCCACCCTTTCCTATCCTGTCCCATCCATTCCGTCCAGCCAAGAACCACTGCACACCCACCTCCAGAAGGGCCTTGATAACCAGCTTGATGGCCAGGTCGTCAGTCTCGATGGCTTCATCCGTGTAGTTCTTCTCCAGGAACTCACGCACTGACTTGGCCCCGCGACCAATGGCATTAGCCTGAAAGAGACGTGTTCCATGCAGCCCAGGGCGTGTGGTTCAGACCCCTGTGCGGCCAGCAGCTGCCCTGCTCCCCAGGCCCACCCTGCCTGGGCTCCAGGGTGCCGTGTAGACAGTGCAGGGAGTGGGCTGGCCCCAGGACCTGCCCTACCACTCCCTTCTGCAAGGGCTCTTCGAGTTGGTACTGACCCTCATCAAGAAGCAGGTTATGCTTTCCTTTCATCCCGACAGGCATGCGGGGGCTGTCATGGACGCCACGTGTCCTCAAACCTCACCGTCGTTTGATTCCCTCCCGAACCACCCTGGCTCCCATGTTGTTAGAACCCTTTTGGAACAGCCACGTTTGGTGTATTATGTGCGTGTTCACACTTAGGATTTAAGGCAAATTTCAGCTGCCACCAAGGACTACTGATTCAAGCCCAATCCCTGTGGCTGTACCCACAGCCCCTTTTCCTGGAAAGGCTGCCAGACTCACCTTCCAGGCGTGGTAGGTGCCTGAGGGGTCGGTCTGATAGAGGCGGGGAGTGCCGTCGAAGTCGAAGCCCACAATGAGGGCGGAGATTCCGAATGGTCTGCGGCCGTTGCTCTGCGTGTAACGCTGCCGGCAGACGAGACGGGTCAGCATGGGCGCGAGGCCCCAGACCAGCCACAGGAAGTACCAGCGACACCCCCAGACAACCACCATCTTCCTCATAATCCCAGGGAAAAGCAGAAGTATTTTAAATTGCTCAGCCTTCTCTCAGGTTATTCGTAATTCAGATGACGGGTCAAATCAACCATCTGGCCCCCTCAGGAAGACCTGCCTGTGACCAGAGCCACATCGTGGAGCATAGCAGAGGGTCTCTGGAGTCCCTCTGATGGAGACAGACAGGCCCTGCCTGCCGAGGGGTGCTTCCCGCCGCTTGCCCGTGCTGGTGCCATGTCCCCACATCACCAGACAGCAGACCACCACAGAGAACGCCACGTGTATCACTGAAAATCATTCTGAACGTCTCGTGAGTGACACGGGGCACTTTCCATGACAGAGGCCAACGCCCCACACTGGAATCGAGTACCCGGGCGGTGCCCACCTGCTTCAGACTGGCGATGTAGCGGGTGATGTACTCCACAGTGACCGGGTCCTCCACTGTCAGCCGGTGGCTCTGGCACTCCACCCGGGCCCTGTTGATGACGATCCTTGCGTCGGCAGTGAGGCCTGCAATGACAATGGAGGGGGGTGTGAGCCACACACACCAGTCCAGTGAGGACGGCACAGAAGACGCAAGCTGGACAGCGGCTGGCCTTTGGCACCCAGGCCACCCGAGTGACTGCCCGCAGGCAGTCCACCCTCCTCGAACTTCTCAAAGAAAGCCAGGTGTGTGAGAAACGGTGTACGTCACCCCACACCACACCACACTGAGTCAGTCCTCTCGGGAGTCCCGTCAGGAGGCAGGTCAACCCCTTATTCAGGCCACGAGAACCAGGACGAAGAGCGCTAACCCGCGCCAAGTGCTGAGCGGCCCTGCCCTCCCCATCATAACCGAATATGGAAAAATGGCCACAAAATGCTGAAAATAAGCTTTGACGGGACGAATGGTTCAACAGCCGCACCCTGGAAGTGCCGCAGAGGTGTCCTGAGACATTCTGACCAACCCTTTAGTCTCACACCCATTTCTTGTCGTTAATGGATTGAACTGGGTCCCCCTAAAATGTGTTGTAAATCCTAACCCCATGGATGGACCCCACCTGGAAACAGTGCTTGCTTTGTTAACAAGGGTGGGTCATCAACAATCGCTTCTGAGACGTAAAGAGCAGATGAAGCACAAAGACAGGCGCGATGGGGAAGGAGCTGCCGCAGCAGAGACAGATCACTAGAGAAGCTGCGACAAGGATTTCTCCCAGAGCATACACACAGCCTTCCCATAGAGCCAGCAGTGCCCTGAGTTCATACTCCCAGCCTCCTGAACTGTGAGAAAATAAATTTCTTGTTCATCAAAGCCACCCACTTATGGTGTTTGTTATAGCAGCACTAAGAAACAGACACTCGTCAGTGGTTCTGGTTGACCGACTGACACACACTCACACACTCACACACCCACACCCACACCCCCACACGCCCCCAATAGCCCATCTGCCCAAGGTGCCCTCTGAAGTTCCGCTCTTTGCTGGGATTCCAAAAGCCGTGTTCTCAAGACTCATACCTGCAAATGCCATGCAGACATTGTCATCCAAAGCACAGATCTTCCGCACTGTTCTCTCATCCTGCAGTTTGGCCACGGATTTCTTCTCCACTCCAAGAACAACAATATCTCTTCCTCGAACGCCAACCTTCAATAAAAATCAACAAACCACTTAATTAAAGTGACTGAAGTTCCGCCAGCAGGCGAAGAAGCACCATGAGCAGATCTCACTGCAGCTGGGGCAGACTTCCTGGGGAAGGTGCCCTCACCAGGTGTGCCAGGCACTGCCCACCCTCCTCCCTGCGCTGCCACCACGGTCAGCACCACGCTCTGCAAACCCTGGGTATCAATCCTCTTCTGGTATAACTAGCTGAAAGCGAAGAGGAGTTGAAGCACTTACTGATAAAGATCAAAAACCACAGCCTTCAGTATGGATTACACCTCAACATCAAGAAAACAAAAATCCTTACAACTGGACCAAGAAGCAACATTATGATAAACGGGGAAAAAATTGAAGTTGTCAAGGATTTCATTTTACTTGGATCCACAATCAACGCCCATGGAAGCAGCAGTCAGGAAATCAAACGATGTATTGCACAGGGCAAACCTGTTGCAAAAGATCTCTTTAAAGTGTTAAAAAGGAAAGACGGTCACCTTGAGAACTAATGTGCACCCGACCTAACCCATGGTATTTTCAATCTCCACCTGCAGGCAAAAGCTAGACAAATGAATAAGAAAGACTGAATAACTGATGCCTTTGAATTACGGTGTTGGCAAAGAATAATGAGTATACCACAGACTGCCAAAAGAATGAACAAATCTGTCTTGGAAGAAGTATAGCCAGAATGCTCCTCTGAGGCAAGGATGGCGAGACATGTACTTTGGACATGTTAGCAGGAGAGACCAGTCCCTGGAGATGGATGTCATGCTTGGTAGGATAGAGGGTCAGCGAAAAACAGGAAGACCCTCAACAAGATGGACTGACACAGTGGCTGCAACAGCAGGCTCAAAGCAAAGATTGTGAGGATGGCGCAGGACCAGGCGGTGTTCTGTTCTGCTGTATATAGGTTTGCCGTGAGTCAGAACGGACTTGATGGCACCTAACAACAACAGAGCTAGCCAAGATACCCGACCTGAAGCGCCCAGCGCTGTGTGTTTAAAATACCGATGGGAGTTGCAATCGCAACACGACTGAACTAGTATATGATTAGCGTATGTATCATTTCAACCTAATGAAATCATTTCAACTTAATGAATCAAACAGCCACCCTTAATGCTGTTAGGTGCTGTCATGGATTGACTTATGTCCCCCCAAAAATGTGTGTATCAGTTTGGCCGGGCCAGATTCCCGGTATTGTGTGATTTTCCCACGTGTGGTAAATCCTGTCTCTATGATGTTAATGAGGGAGGATGGGCGGCAGTTGTGTTAGTAAGGCAGAACTCAATTTGCAAGACTGGATTGTGTCCTGAGGCGATCTCTTGAACTATAAAAAGTGAGCAGTGAGACGGGGACTTCATACCATCAAGAAAGCAGTACCGGGAGCAGAGCGCGTCCTTTGGACCCGAGGTCCCTGCGCAGAGAAGCTCCTAGTCTGGGGGAACACTGATGAGAAGGCCGAGAGAGAAAAAAGCCTTCCCCTGGAGCTGACGCCCTGAATTTGGACTTTTAGCCTACTTTGACTGTGAGGAAATAAACTTCTCTTCGTTAAAACCAACCACTTGGGTATTTCTGTTACAGCAGCACTAGATGACCAAGACAGGTGCCATCAAGTCAATTCTGACTCAGCGACCCCGTGTGACAGAGTAGAACTGCCCCCCAGTTTCCTAGGCTGTGATCTTTATGGGAGCAGATCACACGTTTCTCCTGTGGAGCCGCTGGTGGGTTCCAACTGCTACCTTTTGGATAGCTGTTGAGCGCTTAACCGTTGTGCCACCAGGGCTCCTTAACACTGAAGGCAGATGTTCTGAAGCCAGTGTTGTGGGTTGTGAAGTTATGAACACCCCACCCTGCCCGTCCCGGCACTGCCGCGTGCTGATGCACAAGGTACGCAAGGACCCGCCATCGGGGACGACTGTCAGCTGTCATTGGGAAGGCAGATGGGAGGATGACGTGGCCACTGTTCCCCATCAATACAAACAGATGCGAAGGGACAACCACTGGACACGTACGACCCTTGCACTTCGGAGCAGAGCCTCCCAGCCCCGGTGGCACGGCCGACCCTCTGGCTGGATGACTCTGGAGGGGCTGTGCTGGGCTCTGTAGGGTGCTTAAACAGCACCCCCGGCCTCTACCCATTACATGCTAGTAGTACCTCTCTACCCCCTTGGCTACAGAAACTGTGTCTTAAAATTGCTCAATGCCCCCAGAGGAAAAGCGCCCCCAGTTCAGAACCACCTAGCCAAACCCAGAGAACTGGACTGGTTTGCAGGAGCTAAGCCAGCAGATAGATTTGGGGCCTTCATTTCAAAACAGTTGATTCAAGAAATGAAAAGGAAACGCCCAGCATCCCAAGTGCTGCTTTCTCTCTGCGGCTCCAGCCTCCCAAATGCCGGGCTTTCACTAGAACAACCGGCAGGGCCTTGTCACGCGCTGTCCCTAAGGCCCCGCTCATCAGACGGGTCCAGTGTGTGGTGAGCTGAGGCGCCGGCTGACTGGGGCCGGGCTTCTGTGGCCCAGTGGGCAGATCCAGGAACGTACCTGCCGGGACCTGCGCTGCGGACACTGAGAGCCACAGCTCTCTGTTCTCCGAGCCCACCAGGTCCTTTGCAGACGACTGCTTTCCCTAGCGGAGGGGACCCCCATAGCTCGAATCTGTCTCAGTACCGTTCTCCCAGCGCACCAACGGAGCCTGCAGAAGCCAGCCCTCCCTCCCGCGGTCGGCCCCGCCCCGGCCCCGCCCCGTGCAAAGGTGATCACGCCAAGATGGCCGTCACCCTGCCAGCACCGCGCAGGTCTCAGGGGGGCACCCCGCTGAATACAAGACAGTAGAGGGAAAGTAAGTGGGCACCCTGAAGTTTCCACCCCTTAGCCGGAATTCCGCTGTTTCTTAAAACGCCTGTCAAAAACCACTGGCAAACGTGCTGCAATTACTCTCAATTAACGCCCAACGCTGTACATCGCCGGCCTACTCAAGGTCTGCGAAATAAACGCGACTTTATCAGCCGCTCTGTCCCGACCCGCCCTCCACCCAAACAGCAGAAAGCCACCGACTCCGCAAGCCCAAGGCCGCAGATCACAAACGCGGCTCCCCTTTCGTTTTCCTTTCGGGCGCCAGCGTCGCGGCGTCTGCGCGCTCCACTCCAGCCACTACTCTCCCTTAAAACGGCGAGCCCGCCAAACACACCCCCGGAAACAAAGAAGGGGTCAGTACGGCGGCTCGGGCCAAGCAGAGCCAGGAAGGCCGAGCTGCCGTGGCGAACAAAGGTTTGAGGTGGATTCCAGGGCAAGCGCCGTCACCCGCGGGAGAAGGCGCCGCGCCCCGGGCCCCCGCACCCGCCGCCACCGCAGCTTCCAGGGCGCCAGCCCTCCGGCGACCCCGGCCGAGCCCGGAGCACAGCCCTCCCCGGGCATCCTCCCCGCGTTCCCCCGTTGGCTTCCGAGGATCCACTGGCCCAATCCCTGCGGGCTCCGGGCGGGCACGCCCCGAGGAATCCCCAGCCCACGGCGCGGCCCGCAGACCCTCCCCTGCCGGCGACCCCGGCCCAGAGCGCGGCCCTGCCCGTCCTCCCTGCGAAGTCCGGGGCGCGCAGCCTCCCCGAGGACTGCCGGGCGCCCGGGTCCCCGCGCGGCCCACTTCCGCCCGGATCCCCGGGCTCGCGCAGGCCTCGGCCCAGCCGGCCTTACCGCGGTCGAGCCCTTCTTCACGGCCTCCTGCGCGTACTCCACTTGAAAGAGGTGGCCGTCGGGCGAGAAGACGGTGATGGCGCGGTCGTAGCTCATGGCCGGGCAGAGCACGGCCTGCTCCGGAGACTGCCCGCTGCGCCCGGGTCCGCCGAGGACACCGCCCGCGTTCCTCCTCAAAAGCGCACACTCATGCGCCGCTGCGGCCGACTCACCACGCCGGGATGCGGTCTACGCCGCCGACGGAGGTTTACGACACCGCCCCACGGCTACGCCGCCGACGCCCCGCTACGCCGTCGTCGCCCCGCTACGCTGCCGACGGAGGCTTACGCCGCCGACGCACGGCTACCCTGCAGACGGAGGCCTACGCTGCTGGCGTAAGGCGTGGGCGGGCGGCAGGAGCGAACCACGACGG